AAATCGCCTATGGTGTTTGGGTTTTGAAAGAATGGTGAAAAGTGATGAAAATTCGACTAAGTATAAAATTTGCTGGGCCTCGGATATGGGAATTGCGAACTGGGGTTCGCAATTGCGAATCCCGACCTGCTAACTTGGGAATTGCAAAGTCAAGTTCACATTTGCGAACACTATGCACAATGCCGGACTTCGCATTTGCGAAAAGATGACCGCATTTGCGATCAAACACCCTCCGCATTTGCGAGCACCATGATCGCATTTGCGACCAGTGCCCGGAATTCCCATGTTCGCATTTGCGAGCAAATGAACCGCATTTGCGATCCTATGCCCAGTCCCCAGACTTCGCAATTGCGACTCAAAGCTCGCATTTGCGAGCTCGCAATTGCGAGTCTCCTCTTCGCATTTGCGAAAATCACAGAAGCCAAAATACCAGATCTTTACTAGTTCAAAAATGCAATGCGTGGCCTATCCAAAACTCACCCGAGCCCTCGGGGCTCCAAATCAAATATGCATACAACCTCAATAACATCCTACGGACTTATCCGTGCGATCAAATCGCCAAAATAACATCATATACATCGAATCATAATTGGAAGGCGAAAAGCAAAATAAATACGATATCTAAGAAGACAATTATAGAGAATTTGATGAGACAGACAGAGAAGGAACACAAACATCTCGTGATGATGCAGGAAGGAATTAGGTGTGTAAATTCCTTTAGTTATTACCTGTAGTTTTTCACTCTTTATATTTTGGTTCTTTCAGTTTCCGTGGTAACCTCTTTGTACTGCCCTTTTACATTCTTTATTTATAGCAATGTAAATTTTTTTTTAGTTATTACTGATTGTGTGTTTCTCTCATCTTTCCCGCAAATAATTTATCTTTTGCACAACCTTTTCGCATTCGTCACAACAATCTGTAGAAGTGTACAATAAGATGTCTTTTTCCGATTATCCTCCCTCTTCTTTTTGCAGAACATTCTTTTTCACCAAGGAGTGTACTTCACTCAGCAATATCTGCAACAGGTATATGTGTTTTAATTAGTTTGTGATACAAGTAATCACTTCTCTTCTGTCCTTTTTGGCTCATAGCTAGCAATTGATTGGTTTTTCGTAATTTTAGCATTTTATTATCAAGTGTGGTTATTAAATTCATCATGTGATATTAAGGTTTAATTTAGTGTTATATTAATCCTTTTAAATAGGTTTCTTGGTTACTACACCACAAATCTATATATATATAAAGTAGGAAAAATAAAAGATGAGTTGGCACCTCTCTTTGGCCAAGGATCCTATTTATCTATTTTCTCCTTTTTTTGAATTTTTCTCATTCTTTCCCAATTTCATAATCTTTGTATTCTTTAAGTATGGCATTAGAGGACAATAAAGCCGTTTTTATTCTCTAATTAATTTTTACTAATTATACCTCCCACTCCTTCTCTTCTTCTACAGACGTTACATTTGTATTGAATGGGAATTGGAATATTTAAAGACCCTACTTTGTCATTGTTACATTTCAAGATGTACATTTTAGTTTTCACTTTCTTCTTCTTTGTTTATCTTCTTCCTTTTCAATCTTTGTTTGGATTTAGTACTTTGCGTCTCAATGCTGCATCGTTCTTGCCTATGCTCACAGTTGACTTGGTTCATTAGCATAAGAGATTTTAGCAAATTACAAGAGATTTCTTTGTAGGTGGTACTTCTATTGAATTTAGAGCTATGTTGTTTGACAAAATTACATTTACATAATATTCTCCTGTTGAGTTTAGATTGTTCCATTTTCTATTGTTGTGAATAGGAAAGATGGTAGCAGAAGAGAATCAATGTGTTTACCGTCTCTTGTATCTCTACTAACTGTTTTAGTATTTCTTTAATTGCAGATACACCATGAAAATTCATGTTAAAACATGAGGACAAGAAGGAAGCCCGGATAAGAATAGTAAGCAAATTTATATACTCTTAATATGGTATTATGAAAGCTTTAGTTAATGATTATAAGGTCAGGTGAAATTCTGCACGATATCTTTTATTTCTCTCGCAATTCTTTCTTTTGAGAGTTTATATCCTATTTATTATTTATTTATAATTAGATGCAAATGTTTATATGGTTGTACCAAAGTTTCCAGCAGAAAGTACACTTGCAATAAGAAATTGATGCAAGTGTTGTTGCAGGCTTCAGTAATTTCTTTACCATTTTGCTTGCCCTTTCAAGGTTTTTTCGAATGAGTTCGGGTATTGCTTTCTCATTTTCGGACATTCTTTTTTCCCTTCAATGAAGATGTGCAACTAACAAACACATTTTATATGCACGTAGAATATTAATTATTTACAAATATTTTATATGGACATAGAATACAAATTATTTACAAATATAACTTATGCCTAGGATATTATTCATAAATGTAACTCCTGCAGAACTTACATCTCTTCACTTTCTCTTTTATAATCCTTTCATTTGTTTTTTCAAAGAGACGATGGTTTAACTTTCAGTTTAAGCTTTTGGGGATTCTCTTTTCCTGGCCATCCCATTTTTTATGAAGTTCTATATTGGATTTGTAGGAGAAATTTCAACAGAAAAGAACATATTTTTATATTTTGCGCAATTTGAAATAATTTGTTGATATTGAGGGTAAAAATATATTATATTATAACGTAGGAGTGATTGTTTATGGGATGCTACGAAAGTGATAAGAAGAACGAGTAGAGTATGGACTTTTTTATCAAATAATTGGGTAGAAAAGTATGAAAGTTGGAGAAGAGGAAAATACAAAAAGAAAAATGTTAAAATAGAAACAAAAGGAGGGAAAGAGATTCATTTGACTTTCGTAGTTGTGCTATATTCCCTCCCTTTAATTCATCTTTCTTCTTGATTTTTAAACATGGAGAAAATTATGAAAATAATTTAACTCTATAACAAAAAGGAAAAAGTAAAATACATTATATACATGCAAAACTTACACATTACCCACATAGCTGTCAATTTTTATTGAGATTCATTTATTCATGGATATGCTTTTTTAAAAAAAAAGAAAAAAAGCTTCACCTGTACAATTATAGAAAAACAAAATTTAAGGAAAAAATACAATTGTGTTAATCTAATTCACTTGAATTAAAAATAGTATTTCAAATGTTTAAATTATAAAATATTTGTATTACTCTAAAAATATTTAAAAATTATTATTAAATCTATTAAGGTCTTTTATTATCGCGCGAAGCGCGATCAAATTCACTAGTTGGTTATAATTCTATACTTTTGCAATTACTTTAAAATATTATTAACATATTCATACATGTTGCCACCTGAAGTTGCTCGCTTTTTCAATGAAACCACAAAAATAGTTTGTTTTAACCGTAATATAATTCAGAGTGTCACTCTTTTACTACAACTATTGTACTGTTTGGTGGTTCAGATTCTAAAGGATATAGATTAGATAAAAAAAACCGATTCTTCATTACATCTATATACTGTGTTTGCATCTAATGCATACCTATTAGCGAGTTGAAGACATATGCAACAGAAGATGTAGTTGGATACATGAAGGAGCTTAATAGCTATACATCATCTCTAAAGGTAACAAGTAAAGCAGTTACCCAAGTCTATATTAATTGAGTATTAGATACGTTTAACATTGAAAAAATTGGAGAAATCCTTACATATATTTTGCAGATCAAGGAGGCTGATATTGAACCATTTGAAAAAAATTATAGTGATTTATCTATAAAGGTTTAAGGTAAGATAAAGAGGTAAAAGAAGGAAGCCAGATGCAATATGCTCTTCCTCCTTTTTTTTTAAATGCTTTACTTTCTAGGCTGCCACCTAATTGGCATTCTACTATAGGCTCTTTTGCTCTATGATTTACTTTGAGCCCAATTTTTTCACACTGCTTCAGGTAGAATGCCAATTAGGATAAACTGTCTGGACTGGATGAGGCTAGCTATAGCTGCAGGTAGAGTTTAGCTATCTTTTCTTTACCAAATTATTTGCTCTTGATGCTGCCAATCGAATTAAATATTTTATGAAATCCAATTTATGGATATGCAATTTCAGATTTTATGGATCAGTTAAAAATCATACTTCCTCCTCTATGATGCAATTACAATTAAAAATATGGAATACATGTGTTTTTATATCTGACTATACGACTATCTACACACTGTTTAGCCATCTATTTGTTGAGTCACAATTCCATAATTTTGTAGTTTAGCAGAAGTTTGCATTGCTGGAAAAGAAAGAGAGGCACTAACATGTGTTTAGGCTACGACAAAATCCTTCTTCCCTAATCAAAGCTTGTCTCTTCACTAAAAAGTGTTTCATAATTCAATTTCATGATAAGTAATTTTGAAAGTTGTAAGTGGGCATAAACTTCATGCTGACCAAGATAGTTATACCTTTTTAGCATAGTCTGCTCATGCAGATATTACATGAATATTTTTTTGAAAAAATATTACATGGACATGATTATTTGATTTCAAAAATAAGAATGTGTAAATTAAAACTTTTAGCACCTTCAAGGAATTAAAGATAACTAAAGGAAACTAGGAAAAGAGTTTTGCGGCGTAATAAAACGTCTATATAACCATTCTTAATAGCATACATGATACATGTAGTGAAAGAATTGATATCTATATATTTACTTATATGAAGTTTTTCCGGAGAAGGTGAGATGGCAAATCTACGCAACCAAGAAAGCCATCTATCTTTTTCTCTTCGGTTTTATTTTTATTTTACGTTTCCTCCTTATTGTCCTGTTTATCTCATTTTAAAATGTTAAGTGTCTAAATAAGTAACTCAATTAAAGGATATGACATTTAAGATAAACGTTAAGACTTTTTCTCAATCAATTTCAGTATTTTGGACAATTCAAAAGTTCTTTCACTATAAAAAATCGCAAATATTGTGGCGGTTATAAAATGGCGGTTAGATGGAGCCGCTGTAATTGAGTCTAAATAATGTCGGATTTGTAGGCGCTATTTTTAATACGGCGCTTGTGCGTCAGTTTTGAATCGCCAGTATATTTCTTTTAATTTTATAACCTTTTGAATAACCGAGCCTACTCAAAATATGCCCAATATTTCCTTCTCTTACTTTAGGGTTTCCAGCGACACTTCATCTCCATCGGCTATCGCCAGCGACAATGATCATCTCCATCACCGGCTACACTTGAATCTACCTTTGGTAAAATCTTCTGCTTAATCTATGCCACTTTAATTTGAACTTTAACTCTTGTAAATATGTGTTTTCTCAGCTTTTGTGTATTTTTGTTCTTTCAGTGCTGGTGTTTGCTTATCTCTTAGGGATCTTTAGGTTGGCTAGTAGAAGAATTGAAAGAGTTTTAGCGAAGAGTTTTTTCTTATTTTCTGGTTGATTACTATAGTTTAGTTTCGTACCGATTTTTAATTATTTTGTCTTAACTTTTTTTCCCCTTATTTTGTTTGGTCTTTTGCTGGTGTAGTTTAGTGAAGTTGACTCTGCCACAATGACTATGACTAATTTTTGTCAAAATATAAATAAATTGTGGTTGTATATTGGTGTCAAATAAATTTGTTCGATTTGTTTTCCAGTTGGCCTCGAGTTTGTACACATTTTTCATTCTGATGCTTTCATGCTAGTTTGATTATTAAGGGTGGTCTATTGAGGTCTATTGAAAAACAAAAAAATTCAAATATCAATTCCTGACTGGAGATCTTTTAAATAAAATAAAAAGTTTGCTAGTTCTATTAGTGAAATACAACTTTCCAGAAATACTAATTGTTATTGCTATATTATTTTGAAATGCATACTATTATAGATTCTCAAAGGGGAACTGCTAAACATATTGACTATGGCCCTTGTTTATTGAGAATTGAAGAATCTTTTGCGTTGTGTTATTATCTAGATTGCCAAAAAAAAATATTGATCGTATTATACTGCTAATTAAGTGTCTAATAAGCAATTAATGCACTTGATAAGTAAATGTTTTATTTACCACTCAATATTGCATGAGCTTTTCTTTAGCATTTTGGTTTGTTGTTCTCTTCTCGGAAGCAACGATACATGCTCTTAGGAGTCCTTTGGTTAATGTGATGTTCTGTGATGCAATGTTCGGGCTTGGTCTATTTTGTTGTTTTGTAAGTTTACTTTATAATCCAATGTTTATTTGTTAAGGTCCATTTGTACGAGGATGTCTTAAGAGACTATGTTTGAGGTTTGGCGTTCAAGATTTTGGTGGTTGAAGTAATATTGATCAAAGTTCTGTTCATCATTAAGGTCCATATCTCTTTTTCATATTTCGTTTTTTAATACGATTATGTGCTCCACCATGAGTGAAATATTCCATATTGATGGGGACTCGAAAGCTTCTATGTCAATATGATTTTTTTACAAAGAAGTATATCTGACAAGTCAAAGTTTTAAATAGCAATGTCTTGGTAAGTTTGACTTATTTTGTTTGACACAATAAATGTAGTTGAGAGGAGCTATTGTCTCTAATTTTGGTGAGGTAAAGTGACTTTCAGTAAAGGATGAAAGAGCTATATATTGGCAGTATTATGTTTATTCCATTTTGGATTCGAGTGTTTGACTTATTTTGTTTGGCACAATAAAGGTGGTTGAGGGGAGCTGTTGTCTCTAATTTTGGTATGTTGAAGTGACTTTCGATAAAGGCTGAAATAGCTATATAGTTTGGAGTGATACTGTAGATTGTTGCAAGTAATGTTCTAAGAAACATGTTTTCTCTAACATAGCGTCTAATATTTGACTTTGTATTTCCATCTCATATTTGAGCTTTGTAGCCTGTAAGCTGAAGACATTACTTTATCTTCTTAAATGCATAAGATAATTGGTACTCAGCTATTCTGTTTTGAATTTTAATTCTTAGAACGTCAAATAACTTTTGGTTGAGCAAAGAAGATTCTTCCAGTTTAAAAATACCTCTTTCGTGTAAATGTTCAATTGAAAACTCCTTTATATCATTGACTTGTTTCAAGTATACCGAGCACTATTTAATATGTTTCTTGAATATGTTGACGTGGATCTCATCACAACTGGAGTATCAACAAGTGAAAATATGAAGGGAGAATTTGGTGTTCACCACCTGCAATACCTTAGTTGCTGGAGGTACGTAAACTATTGCTTAAATTATACTGTAATACTGAAATTATTTCTTACTCTACTGTGTTTAGTATAGTTGTTTTAACCTTAGTTAAAATGTTTAATAGTTGAGGTTGTATATGCCTAAGAAGTTTACTTCTTATATACTGCATTTGTAGACAGTGCATCCTATTTTCAGTCTGTTCTCTACTACTACATGAATTAGAACATCAGTAGCTCATACTATAACTATCATATCTAATAGTGGAATGAGTTGGTATGAAGTTCAATTGTTGTATTGTATATAATTACCGCGAGTTTCGGCACCACTACTACAATGACAACTACTATCATGGTCACAATTACCCAAACTGTTATTGCAATGCATTATATATTTTGCAGTGCAGCACAATGTTTAATGTTCTTATGGTTGTGGCTATATAGGTTTAATGTTCTTTTGGTTGTGGCTTTATCTGTTGAATAATATGTGAAAAGGTTTATATTCTACCATTATTTCTTTCTAAGAAACTAAAGTGATTTAAGGTTAAAAGATACTTTCCTTTCTTGCAGGCATCATATTTTTGAAGTGACGCTCCATTATCACCAACAGGCCAAGGAGTTCTTCCCACGAAGTAAAAATGCTAAATGCAGTTAGGATTGATTGTATTATTTTGTTGTTGAGTAACACTTTGAAACAATATATTTAATGTAATTTTGGAGTGCTTATGATATATGAGGAATATTCTGCTTTTTCTTCTCATATTTTGATTATTAATCCTTTATGTATGTGTCAACATTATTATTAAGCTTGATACAAATTTAAGAATATAGGATGTGATAAACAGGATATACACGTGGAATAATAAAATAGCATATCAGAATAAAACTATTATATATTATTTTGGATAAATTTAAACATGAAATTACGCAAAAGGAGAGCAGAATAGTAAGATATAGCGGTTTCGAACAGCCAAATATGCAAACGCAAGACCGCCACATTATACAATTAACAATTACGTGTTTTTGAAAACCGCCATTAGAGCGTATTGCAACCGCCACTAAGCACAAAAATAATCGCCACAATAACACAATTCTTTTGTAGTGTTTCTTGAAGTTGAAGAATATAATTAGAGTGGAACAGAAGAAGGTTCATGTCGCCCAAATCGGACATGGGAAGGAAAATAAAGTTAAACAAACAAGACGAAGAAAGAAGAGATAGGCCCAAGACAACTTTCAAATTTATCTGTTGAAATTTGGATATCATGGGGAGATAAAAAAGGACAACCCGGTGCACTAAGCTTCCGCTATGCGCGGGATCCTCTGTTGCATATTCACCATGTGATATCAGCATTCATCATTTTGAACATGAAACTTTATTTTTTTAGCTCTTGAATTATTGTTCAAATATTTTTAAATCTCTATGACATACTTAAAATAGTAAGCATTAATATGCTTGAACAACTTTATAGTCGTTATATCTTTATTTTTCTTTTTTTGGGTAAGTGCAAACTAATTTGATAATATGAGTATGAACTTATTGGATATCAGTAGTTTATTCTAAAAGTTGAGTGGCATTTTTAGGCCTTTTCCGTTGAATGTTTAATTGACTTACTGAAACATGTAATGGTTTTGCATTCATTTTTACTTGATGCAACTCTGTAACTGATATTTATGTTACATTTATCCTTTGTCAGATTGTGTTTCATTTCCCATGAAAGATTTCTTTAACTTTATAATCCCATCTAGTTGGAGTTATCGTTTGCTTGAGTTAAAATAGGAAGAACTATTTGAAGCATAAACTATGCACAGTTGCACCAGATGCCAATGTCAGATTATTTCCTTTTCTAAAATCTCTCACACAAATCACTATCTTTCATTCACTTTTCTCCTTGGTTTTATGAGAGGATAAAGTTGAAATGGGCAGCCCGGTACACTGAGCTCCCGCTATGCGCGACCATATTCTAACTTCATAAAGACATACAAAGAAAATAGAAATACAAAGAACCAAACTCAACGGAGTTGTTGTCATCCCTGGCGAATGAGTAGTTTGAAGGTTATCTTGTCTTCTTCAATAAATAAATTTCTATTATTTTTCTCTTCTGCGATCCTCTTAATAATAGGATAACAAATATATACCCATTATATCTTCATTACCAAAAAATGAGTGCAAAAAAATAAGAAGAAGAAACAAAACTCACCTGAAGTGAGAGCTACAATTGAGGGTTATAACAGACAAATTGCATAAAGAGGAGAGATTTGAAATTACACCTGAAACTGCACCAAACAAACATCGAAATCCCTAATTTTCCATGTTCGTCTTTCTCCAAGTCCCATTTTTTCTCAAACAAATATCATTCGTAAACTACCAAAGAAGGCAAAAAAAAGAAAAGAAAAGAAACTCAAATTTGCATGTAATCAGTACTTGCTAAGAGAAGAAACCAGATATATATATATGAAAAATAAAGAAAATTGAAAGATATTATACCAGCGATTATGTCGGAATCTGATCTCTTCTTGCCAAGAGGTTTCGGATTCTTCTGTGAACTTCAACAGTACTCTCAATTGTGTGGTACATCTATGAAATCAAATTTGTTAAAATTCCAATTTCAAAAATTAGGTTAAAATCCAAATGTTTTGATGATAATTCACCCAAAAGTTTTGATGATAATTCAAAGTGAAAGAAGTTACCTACATACAACACTTCATGGATAATAACAAATGGACCAGCCAAGGAGGAAGAGAAGAAAAGAGAGTCGCGAAGAAGCAAGAGGAGCAAAAACGAAGCAGAAAAGCTAATATGTTGTCTCTCAGTGTTACAACACACCTGGAGGGATGTTTCTTAATCTCATTTTGCGGAGGCATGCAGATTTTCAATTTAGCAATTGACATTTGATCATTAACTCCACTCCGTCTGAGGATGAAATGTTGTGCTCAACTCAATCCGTGTGCCCAACTCACGCTGAACTGCTCTCCAGAAATGCGAGGTAAGCTGCGTACCTCGGTCAGAAATGATAGACACGGGCACACCATGAAGTCGAACAATCTCCCGAATATAGATCTCAGCTAACCTCTCAGAAGAATAGGAGACTGCCACAGGAATAAAATGTGCATTATTCTTGATTCTTCTTTGTTGTCTTTTATTTTTTCTATCATCATTCTTACGGCTATGAAATCAACCTACACGAGAGAAAACAAATAAAAGCTAGTGTAACCGAATCTAATATTGAGAAAATTATCCGTATTTAGAAATCGCAACCAAATCTAGGTACAAAATCTTTCATCTATTTTCTGAAAATTATAGAGCTACATCAAAATTTGAAATTGGGACTTTGGATATTTGAAATTTTCTAACCCTGTTATTTTGGATGGAATTGCAAAATGGCGTAATGCAGTAAACTCGTGGGACTAAAGATACTAGTGATTATTTCAGTACTGATTCTGATAACACACATTATTTTCACATTTGTTCTGTTCAAGAATTTCTGTTGTTTCGACGAGCTATTTGATGTGTTTGATATTACGTGTTGACTTAGGCTGCAGTAGTACACTCGCACAAGCATACATCGTAGCATGCCACTTATACTAGTCTAAGAGTATGAAACTTGACATTTATTAATCATGCCCATGTGTTCTTGTATTATCCGTTTTCATGTTGCTATTGAGCTTGTGATCATGCCGGACGGATTGTGATTGTGAGCCTGTGATCATGCCGGACGGATTGTGATTGTGAGCCTGTGACTATGCTGGAAGGATTGTGATTGTGGGTCTGTGACTATGTCGGGCGGATTGTGACTGTGAGACTGTGACTATGCTGGGCGAATTGTGATTTTGGCACGTGAGTTATCCATGTGGTTGTGATTCAAGATGTGGGCACAAGGTGCCGTGAGTATATGATGGTGGGTTGAGACCCGGGACTTGTGACTATGATATGAGGTATCACGGAGTGATTTCGTTGTGAAACTTGTGTTAGAACGGCGTGATTAATTGGTTTTCCCTTGTGTTCCTTATTTGGTTTTAATGATACTTCACGGTGTTTTTATTACTTTGTTGTCTATATCACATGTTGATGTTGTTGCCATTTACTTCCTTATCGAAAATAAATTAAAATTCTCTGCAATCTAGTGATACGGTGCATGAAATTGTTGCTCGATCGTGCAAGGAGCAGTAGAGACAAATTGAGGTATAGGCTCATGTTCTTGTATCGCTTCTCAACCTTTTTACTTTTTCTTTAGAAGAGTAATCTGTGTTAGTCTCTAATTATTTTAGTCCATTTGATCTATCGAAAATTTAGTACAACTACACCTCCCCCCCGCCCCCTGTCCCTACACAAAAAAAAATGATGAGAGACATCTTACCAGATATTTTAAACGTTTGCATCACACAACTTAATTTCAGAAGCCTAGTTTATGTTAAATGCAAGTCTTTGCTATGCACCCTCAATGAGAGACCGTGTAGCACAATAACATGCTTTGCCTGCAGATGCCACAAAACATTTTTATTAAATACTATGTGGTGTTCCATAAGCTCTTTAAGTCTGCTGAATTGAATGTCAAAGAAGCACTGTCTGTGAAAGTTGGCCTGTCTTGTCTTATGATTTAATTAATTTTGAATGATGCTTTAGAAGGAGAAATAGGCTACCGTTCCGTGCTACTGTCACGACCCAAAACCCCGCACTAGTCGTGATGACGCCTCTCGTGAAGACAAGGCCAGCCAACTAACCCAAATAGTCCCTTTTAGAGTAGTTAAACATAAATGAATAGCAAAATACGACTTAAGGACATTAATTAACGAAGTTTACAACCCAACACAGCCCGACCGGGGTGTCACAAGTCACGAGCATCTAGAGAAGTCTAAATACTACTACAGGGCCAACAATATACGGAATAAAATTTAGAACCAAAGGAAGTAATCCGGTGCCGCGAACGCTGGCGGTCACTCTGCTCAGCTACGATAGCAATACCTTCAACCAGCTCAAAACCCACTACCGGGTGAACAATACCTGCATCTGCACGCGAGGTGCAGGGAGTAGAGTGAGTACTCCAACTCAGTGAGTAATAAAAGTAAATAATAACTGAGCAGCAAGAAATCACGTAAAGCAACCAACATGCTATACAGAAGCCGGGTGCAATTTTCTGAGAAAAACAGTAAAATCTGTGAAATCTTTAGAAATACCTTGGCTCAGTTCAAATCTCTTTTAAAAATGATCTTTTCAGTGATTACGAAAACGATTTCAAAACAATTAGTGCTGATACGCACAGAAAATTCGCCCCTCGGGCACAAATACCACGGTATAACAGGTAAAGAGGCAAATAAGTATGCAAGATGAGCACATAAAAGTTCTCCCCTCGGGCAATATCTCAAAACAGTACCGGCCCCTCGGGCATGATTTATGTTCGTTGTCAGTCGTTGTTACCTGACCGGTCAGCCATTGTTACCTGACCAAAACGCGTATTACAGTGCCACTGTTACCACTGGTCAGTCATTGTTACCTGACTGGTCAGTCATTGTTACCTGACCAAAACGCGTACAGCAGTGCCATTGTTACCACTGTCTAACATTTATCCGCTCTAGATGGGTACCCGCGCTCACTGTGGGGGTGGAGACTCCGGAGGGGCTCCTACAGCCCAAGCGCTATATTATCATAAGGCCTGAAAGCCTGTACATATCAACATGAGGCCTGAAAGCCTTCTCACAATACACTCGAGGCCTGAAAGCCTCCTCACATATCACTCGACATATCCTCACATATGGCCCTCGGCCTCAATCAGTCCAAAAATAATCATAAGCCCCTCAGGCATCAGTAAAGACAATAATGCTCAGCTCAAATAATAGTTCAAACATCAGTTAAAACTCAAGGTTGAGTAAAAATATAGCTGGGTTCATGAAACAGTGTAATTCAAATGGACTGAGTTCAAATAATATTTCAAATAGTGAGAAAAACAGTGATGATAGCTCACAAGGATTTTAAACAGTCCGCAATAAGCCCCAAGTATGGCAATCAGCCCAAGTCATGATAATATCAAATAAGTTTCAGTCAAATACGCGGTAAAATCAACAATCGGGACGGACCAAGTCACAATCCCCAACGGTGCTCTACCCCACGCTCGCTATCCGGCGTGCAAGTCACCTCAATATAGCACTACGGCGTGCAAATCCAGGGTTTCAAACCCTCAGGATATCATTTACAATCATTACTCACCTCGAACCGGTGAAAACTCTAGCTCGCGACGCCCTTGCCCCATCAAATCGGCCTCCACGCGCGTCAAATCTAACCAAAATCAGAGCGAATACATCACAATATGCTAAGGAAACAATACCCAATCGAAACAATCGAAAAATATCAAGAATCNGTTCTATTGAAGGCCCTGCAACCTACATAGTGCATGGTCTTTGTTGTAGGTGTTGCATCCCTGAAGTTGTTCTGCGGTGTATGCAGGTGAGCTTGATATTCAAACTCATAATTTCTCATTATTTACAGTATTGTGTGTAGGCTATCACCTAGAGCAAAATTTCTATTCCAAAAATTTTCATTTATCTTATTTGACAATTCTGAAAATTTGAATAGAAGCAAAAACTTCAAGGACGTGTCTGTTTGTACTCTCAGTTGTGATCTGTTGAACTCATTTGTAGGTCTGTGTGTCGCTTGTCGGGTCTGGTAGTCCACCTAATACCCATGATGAGTTGATCAACCTTGTCACAAATCCTGAAACAGGGTTCATTCGTCTCTTCAGTCAGCATCAATTGCAGGTATTACTGTTTGGCTTGTACCCTTTATGCACAGGAAAAGAGATAATAGAGTTTTCCTACAGCTGAATGACTGTTAGGTTGGACAAAGTCTCATCAGTTCTCATGCATACACCATTTGTAGCATTAATATAGTTGTAGGATTTGTAGCATTAATATATTTGTTGTCTTAGTCTTTTGATAAAGTAGATCTGTGGTCTTGTTAGTCGGTTAATTTGATTTGTTGGGCAATAATTAGATCTTGCTACTAAAGTTGAAGCTACTTTTCATACAAGAGTTTTTGTTATTTGAGAGGGAATATACAATATACAAAATGGAACTTGAGGAGGAGCCAACCGCTTGATTTGAGGAGCTTAAATACTTGACAGGCTTGTTTCAATTTAAGTTATGGTATATATTTTTGTAGTCTATCAAAATTAGGTTCTTTTTTTGATGGTTGTTACCTATTATATTGTTACATTAAAATACAATATTTGTTTTGATTATTATTTAAAAGTTGAATATATCGTATCGTTAAATCCGTTGTTATATAATGATATAAAAACCTTTTATGTAACAATCAATTTTGTGCTCGCGTCGTTATTGTTTTTTTTTTCCTCATCTTGCCTTACTATAATTCTATTGTACTTTTTGCTTTATCTTATTTAATAATTACTCAACTTCATAATCTACTTTTTTTTTATACATATTGTACACTTATTTTTCAATTGCTGGTGTATTCCCATTATGAAACCATGAAAAATAATACAATCTATTCAAATGTTTTATTCATTAAAAAACTGTGCGATAGGTTAGAAAACGATATGTAACTGTCATTCAAACAAGTTGTAACTACTGGTGTGTTTTGTAGGAAGAAAAACATTTTTCTTAATTTTTTTTTTAATTTTTTTATGTTTGGTTGGCTTAAATATTTTGAAAAATATTTTTCTTATGAACTCATTTTCCCTCAATTGAAGGAAAATGTTTTCCCTACCAAGAGAATAAAAAATATTTTTCAAAACTCTTTTTCTACCTTCTCCACCCCCACCAATCCTCACCAACCCATCCCCACACTGACACCCCTATTTCTCCCCACCCTTACTTGTCACGACCTGAATTTTTCACCTTCGGGGGTCGTGATAGCGCCTACTGGTGAGAGCTAGGCAAGCCAACCAACTGAATTAGTTGACTTGTTTCCATTTTTAAATTTGTTAACAACTTAGAACCAACAATTAATTAACAACTTAATTTAACAAACGGAAGAATAAATATCAATTTAAATAGCACTACTAATACCAACCCATAACAAAATCACCCAAGATTTGGTGTCACAACTTCACAAATTGTCTAGGAGTACTACAAATAAAAGGTCTGAAAGAAATAATAAAATACTATCTTTGGAACTACATAAGAGAAGCAGCAAAATAGATAGAGGGAGACGCTAAGGCCTGCGGACGCCTGCAGAACTACCTCGGGTCGCCTGATAAGCAAGAAGCTGAAACCTCACCGCGGTCCGAAATCTGCAGCACTAGGATCTGCACAAAAGAGTGCAGAGTGTAGTATCAGCACAATCGACCCCCTGTGCTGGTAAGTGCCTAGCCTAACTCCGGCGAAGTAGTGGCGAGGCTAGGACCAGACTGCCAATAAATCTGTGCAGATAAATAATGTACAGCGGAAAAATAAAAGCAGAAACATATATAATGATGGGAGAGGGGGAACATGCTGCGGGAAAATACCAAATAGCAACAAGAGAACAACAGTTAAATNTCCGCTCTAGATGGGTACCCGCGCTCACTGTCGGGGTGCAGACTCCGGAGGGGCTCCTACAGCCCAAGCGCTATATCATCATAAGGCCTAAAAGACCTGTACATATCAACATGAGGCCTGAAAGCCTTCTCACAATACACTCGAGGCCTGAAAGCCTCCTCACATATCACTCGAGGCCTGAAAGCTTCCTCACATATCACTCGAGGCCTGAAAGCCTCCTCACATCACTCGAAAATCCTCACATATGGCCCTCAGCCTCAATCAGTCCAAAAATAATCATAAGCCCCTCAGGCATCAGTAAAGACAATAATGCTCAGCTCAAACAATAGTTCAAACATCAGTTAAAACTCAAGGTTGAGTAAAAATATAGCTGAGTTCATGAAACAGTGTAATTCAATGGACTGAGTTCAAATAATATTTCAAATAGTTAGGAAAACAGTGATGATAGCTCACAAGGATTTTAAAAAGTCGGCAATAAGCCCCAAGTATGGCAATCAGCCCAAGTCATGATAATATCAAATAAGTTTCAGTCAAATACGCGGTAAAATCAACAATCGGGACGGACCAAGTCACAATCCCCAACGGTGCTCTACCCCACGCTCGCTATCCGGCGTGCAAGTCACCTCAATATAGCACTACGGCGTGCAAATCCAGGGTTTCAAACCCTCAGGATATCATTTACAATCATTACTCACCTCGAACCGGTGAAAACTCTAGCTCGCGACGCCCTTGCCCCATCAAATCGGCCTCCACGCGCGTCAAATCTAACCAAAATCAGAGCGAATACATCACAATATGCTAAGGAAACAATACCCAATCGAAAACAATCGAAAAATATCAAGAATCTCGAAATTAGCAAAACCCGAGCCCCGGGTCCACTTCTCGAAAAATCAGAAAATTAACATCAATGGATTCCTCATCTTCTCACGAGTTCATACATACCAAGAACTCTCAAATCCGAGCTCAAATGACCCATCAAATCCCAATTTAACATCTCAAAATCCCAAGCCCTAGTTCATCAATTTTAGGCTTAATTTCCATGAATTTCTAGGTTAATTTCACATATAATCATGTTTTTTTAACTCATAAAACTTACCTCCAGTCAATCTCAGTCGAAACCCTCTTCAATTGCTCCCAAAAAGCTCTCAAGATGTTCAACAATGGAGGAAAATACCCTTAGCTCGCGGATGAAATGTTATTTTAAAAATCTTCTCTGCCCAGCTCTTTTTCGCTTATGCGGTCCCGTTTCCGCTTATGTGGGACCGCTTCTGCGACTTTTATACCGCTTCTGCGGTTTTCCACTTAAAGGCTCCGACCACTTCTGCGGCCCAGAAATCGCACCAGCGGGACCGCTTCTGCGGCCCAAACTTCCGCTTCTGCGGAAAACCCAACTCAAGCTCCAACCGCTTCTGCGGTTCCCTAATCGCATAAGTGATACCGCTTCTGCGGTCCAAATTCCGCAGAAGCGAAAACATACCAGAAGCAGCAGACTTAGCACATGAAAAATTCCAAAACTCTCTTTTTAACCATCGGAGCTCACCCCGAGGCCCCCGGGACCTCAACCAAAAATACCAATACGTCCTAAAAGATTATTCAAACTTGTTCCAATCATAAAAACACCACGATTAACACTAAAACCATCAAATTACATCAAATCCAAGCCTAAGTTCTTCAAATTCTTCCGAAACTCGCATTCTATCAAAAACCCAACCAAACCACCTCCGAATCATCTGAAATTTTGCACACACATCCCAAATCACCTAACAAAGCTACTACAACTCTCTGAATTCCATGCCGACCCTCGGATCAAAATCTCACCTAACAACCGGAATTCGCCAAAACACTAACTTCGCCGATTCAAGCCTAATTCTACATCGGACCTCCAAAATCAATTCCGATCACACTCCTAAGTCGCAAATCATCCCCCAAAGCTAACCGAATCACCGAAAATCACATCCGAGCCCTATAACTCATAAGTCAACCTCCGGTTGACTTTTCCAAACCAAGCCTTCCTTAAAGAGACTAAGTGTCTCATTTCTTATCAAAACCAATCCAAATCAACTCTAACACACCAAATACCGATAACGAAACATGAAGAAGCATAAAATGGGGGAAACGGGGCGGTAGCTCCTGAGATGACGGCTCGGGTCGTCACAGCTACCTTTCACATCCATGGATATCATATTTTGGTGTTAGTTCTCTCACGACTTTACCCACGCATATGTATCAAATGTATGTTTGTGTAACGCAGCAGCTCAGTCCACAGCTTTATCCACCATAAAATCTGGCATTTCAGATCTCTCCCTCACTTCGTCTTGTGTCACTCTCAGATAAGCCTGGTTCCTTCCATTTTCTTTGCCGTAACATTTTTGCATATAGAATGGGAGCGTTGGTACTATGGTAAAGTTGTCTCTATGTTACCTATAGGTCACGGGTTCGAGCGGGGGAATCATCTATTTATACTTGCATTGAGGTAGGTTGCCTACATCATATCCTTTGGGTGCGTTCCTTTCTCGGACCCTGCGTGAATGCGGGATAATTCGTGCACCGGGCTGCCCTTTCTATTTTAGTTCTGTATATAGTTACTTGGGTAGGTGATAACTTTGAGTAGAGTATCTTTCATCCTGTCCGTCTCCTTGGTCCCATTCTAAGTTACTACATCTTTCCTGCGAGGAAGGGAGCGTGCATTAGCTGAGTACCAGTTTCATCTTAAAAGTATTATAGTTTCTATGGTCTATTCTGCAGCTTTAACCAAAGCTTTTGAACAGATGAACCTTATGTTAGGAGACATACCAAGTTTGCTGGACGTCATATGGTCTTGGATATCGCCTTCTGAACAGGGGCGTACGCAGAAATTTTGTAAGCGGTGTCGAAATTTATAAAAGAATTGAAATATAACTTTGATTATCATACCTTTAGACAAGAAATAACCTTAGTCTATTGATTTTGTTGAGTCTTAAGTTACAAAAGGTCCCGAGTATTTTTGCAAAAGAAAAATGTGCTATTTGAGGTTTGAACCTTTGACCTCTTAAAGAAAAATCAAGTACATTACCAACACACCAAGATACTATTTAAGTCAAGTGGTGTCATTTTTTCCTACTTATCTGTTTCCGTACAGTATAAATACATATATTTAGTAAAAATTTTCGACGAAGCGGTGTCGCATGACACCAGTTCGGTAAGCGTAAATCTGCCCCTGCTTCTGAAGATGATGCAACCTTCTTCAGGTAAGTAAACTTTTCACACTTTATTGTTCATGGGCGGAGGCTCTTTGTTGCACATACACAAAAAGATTAGATTATTCTGCAGTATTTTGAGATTCTTATTGTCTTTGTAAAGCTTCTAAATAGTATTTAATGTTGTTGAATTGTTTCACCTCATTAAAACATAGTAGTTAGAATTGGGACACATTTATTTAAGTACTTCCTAGCACGCCTCTTTCCGTATGGGTCTCATTCTTTTCCTTAAGTCTAACGTGTGGAAGTTCCATGTGTAAATGGGTGGTAGTAAGATTCAAAACTGAGACTTCTGCCTATGTTAGCACTGTGTTGAGTGCGTGACCACCTCTTCTTAAAATATTACAAACACATCACATACTGATTACCCTTTTATCAGCTTTATCATGTTAGATTTTTTGATGTCAATTGTCCAAGGGATAAGGAAGGCCTCTAGAGGGTACTTTTTCTGTTTTTTGTTCCTGGTACAGAGTAATCTTTGTGTCCTTGATATTCAGATTACATGAATGATTTATCTATACATGATGTGTTTAGTAATAGACTAGTCCACAATATGCATAAGTACGTGTTATTCTTGGAGATTAAGCTTTATGTTGGATGTGATTTATGCTGAATGCACATTTTCTTTTGCTTAGACCTCATGGTGACCCACAAATGATGCGCCTTGGTGCATACTTAGTGCTTGTGCTCCGATACTTGCTCGAAGATCAAATGAAGGATGAGTTTAGAGAGAAATTACTGACAGTTGGTGACCTCATTCTTCACATGTAAGTATTACGCAGCATCTTCTTTTTGTTAGTGGTATTTAGAAAGTAGAGCCAACTAGCAGTGTATCAATAGTACTTTACATACATAGGAGTAAAAGTGTAAATATAAAAATTCTTATTCACTTTCAAGCTGGAGTTACATTGGAAATCTCTCGATTAGATGCTTGGTATTCTGGCAGCGATGGTTCTATTGAAGGCCCTGCAACCTACATAGTGCATGGTCTTTGTTGTAGGTGTTGCATCCCTGAAGTTGTTCTGCGGTGTATGCGGTGAGCTTGATATTCAAACTCATAATTTCTCATTATTTACAATATTGTGTGTAGGCTATCACCTAGAGCAAAATTCCTATTCCATAAATTTTCATTTATCTTATTTGACAATTCTGAAAATTTGAATAGAAGCAAAAACTTCAAGGACGTGTCTGTTTGTACTCTCAGTTGTGATCTGTTGAACTCATTTGTAGGTCTGTGTGTCGCTTGTCGGGTCTGGTAATCCACCTAATACCCATGATGAGTTGATCAACCTTGCCACAAATCCTGAAACAGGGTTCATTCGTCTCTTCAGTCAGCATCAATTGCAGGTATTACTGTTTGGCTTGTACCCTTTATGCACAGGAAAAGAGATAATAGAGTTTTCCTACAGCTGAATGACTGTTAGGTTGGACAAAGTCTCATCAGTTCTCATGCATACACCATTTGTAGCATTAATATATTTGTAGGATTTGTAGCATTAATATATTTGTTGTCTTGGTCTTTTGATAAAGTAGATCTGTGGTCTTGTTAGTCGGTTAATTTGATTTGTTGGGCAATAATTAGATCTTGCTATTAAAGTTGAAGCTACTTTTCATACAGGAGTTTTTGTTATTTGAGAGGGAATATACAATATACAAAATGGAACTCGAGGAGGAGCCAACCGCTTGATTTGAGGAGCTTAAATACTTGACAGGCTTGTTTGAATTTGAGTTATGGTTTACATTTTTGTAGTCTATCAAAATTAGGTTCTTTTTTGGATGGTTGTTACCTATTATATTGTTACATTAAATATAATATTTGTTTTTATTGTTATTTAAAATCTGAATATATCGTATCGTTAAATCCGTTGTTACATAACGATATAAAAACCTTTTATGTAACAATCAATTTTGTGTGCTAGCGTCGCTATTGTTTTTTTTCCTCATCTTGCCCTTACTATAATTCTATTGTACTTTTTGCTTTATCTTATTTAATAATTACTCAACTTCATAATCTACTTTTTTTTATACATATTGTACACTTATATTTCAATTGTTGGTGTACTGCCATTATGAAACCATGAAAAATGGTACAATCTATTCAAATATTTTATTCATTAAAAAACTGTACGATAGGTTAGAAATAGATACGTAACTATCATTCAAACAAGTTGTAACTACTGGTGTGTTTGGTAGGAAGAAAAATATTTTTCGGATTTTTTTTTCAATGTTTGGTTGGCTTAAATATTTTGGAAAATATTTTCCTTATGAACTCATTTTCCTCCAATTGAAGGAAAATATTTTCCCTACCAAGAGAATAAAAAATATTTTTCAAAACTCTTTTTCTACCTTCTCCACCCCCACCAATCCTCACCAACCCATCCCCACACTGCTACCCATATCCCCTCCCCACCCCTTATCTATCACGACCCGAATTTTCCACCCTCGAGGGTCGTGATGGCGCCTACTAGTGAGAGCTCGGCAAGCCAACCAACTGAATTATTTGACTTGTTTCCATTTTTAAATTCGTTAACAACTTAGAACCAACAATTAATAAACAACTTAATTAAACAAGCGGAAGAATAAATATCAAGTTAAATAGCACTACTAATACCAACTCATAACAAAACCACCCAAGATTTGGTGTCACAACTTCACAGACTGTCTAAGAGTACTACAAATAAAAGGTCTGAAAGAAATAACAAAATACTGTCTCTGGAACTACATAAGAGAAGCAGCAAAATAGATAGAGGGAGACGCCAAGGCCTGCGGACGCCTGCAGGACTACCTCGGGTCACCTGATAAGCAAGAAGTTGAAACCTCACTGCGGTCCAAAATCTGCAGCACTGGGATCAGCACAAAAGAGTGCAGAGTGTAGTATCAGCACAACCGACCCCATGTGCTGGTAAGTGCCTAACCTAACCTCGGTGAAGTAGTGACGAGGCTAGGACCAGACTGCCAATAAACTTGTGCAGATAAATAATGTACAGCGGAAAAACAAAAGCAGAAACACATATAATCAATGATGGGAGAGGGGGAACATGCAGCGGGGAAATACCAAATAGCAACAAGAGAACAGCAGTTAAATATATAGATCGCCACAATTCAATTATCAACAAGAAAAAAAAAATCAAACAAGTGCACGGCATTACCCTTCATGCTTTTACTCTCGTCCTCACCATAAAATCAATATAAACTGCACGGCATCACCCTTCGTGCTTTTACTCTCATCCTCACTATAATATCAATATAATAGGCACGGAATGGTACATCGTGCGTCACGGCATCACCCTTCGTGCTTTACACTCTTCCTCACCCAAACAACAAACACAAACAATAAGGGCAAGGAATAAATGAATCATAATATAATCCCGGCTAGGGAACAACATCAAAACCACAACGTCCCGGCAAGGGAATAACATTTAAAGCCACAACGTCATGGCAAAGGAGCATTAATACCATAAACCTCTTCTCATTTTCACCTTTACCTTAAAACTTAGTTCACAATTCGAGCCAATGCTCTTCAATATACAAATACCAATATTCTTCCCACAAACCTTGCTCGTCAATAGCAATTACCACATTGAACATGAACAATACAAACGCTGTCACATAAAACACGACATAAGACTCACGGGCATGCTTGACACCAACGTATAGATACTCGTCACCATGCTTATACGTCGTACTCAACACATAACACATAGCATATAAGACCAAACTCCTATTCCCTCAAGCTAAGGTTAGACCAAACACTTACCTCGATGCCTCGTACACAGTTCAAGCCTTAACTATAGCTTTACCTCTTGATTCCATCACCAATTCGCTCGTATCTAGTCACAAGTTACTTAATTACATCAATAAATGTTGAAAGAACCAATTCTAATGCATGAAAATAAGTTTTGTAAAGTTTTTCCCAAAAAGTCAAAAATCGACCCCGAGCCCACATGGTCAAAATCCGAGGTTCGAACCAAAACCCGACTACCCATTCACCTACGAACTCAAATATATAATTTATTTTGAAATCGGACCTCAAATCGAGGTCCAAATCCCTAAAATTTGAAAAACCTAGGTTCTACCCAAAACACCCAATTTTCCCCATTAAAATCATTGATTTTGAGTTGAAATCATGTGAAAAGATGGTAAGGATTGAAGAAAACTAGTTAGAAACGACTTACAATTGATTTGGAGAAGAAGTTGCCTTTGAAAAATCGCCCTAGAGTGTTTATGTTTTGAGAAGATGTGAAAAATGGTTAAAAATTCGTCTAAGTATGGATTTTACAGGTCTCTGGTGTCGCAATTGCGAACCCTGGTCGCAATTGCGAACCAGACTCTGCTATCATCGCATTTGCGAAGAAAAATGTCGCATTTGCTACACAACTAATTTTCAGGTCTCCTTCGCATTTGCGATAGACCTCTCGCAAATGCGAAGTCGCATTTGCGATAAAACTGTTGCATTTGCGACGACTGGGCTACAACTGGAGGATCGCATTTGCGGTATTTTCATCGCATTTACGAGGTACGCTGGCCTGGGCTATTTTGCATTTTCGACATAGCCTTCGCATTTGCGAACTCGCATTTGCGAGCCATGCGAAGCCTGCAGGCCTGCAATAGAACATCTGAAACATGCAATTTTCCCAAGTCCGATTCTACTCCGTGGCCTATCCAAAACTCACCCGAGCCCTCGGGGCTCCAAACCAAACATGTACACTAACCCAAAAATATCATACGAACTCGCTCGTGCATTCAAATCACCAAAATAACATCAACAACTATGAATGTAGCACCAAAATCATGAAATCACTCAAGAACATCAAATTTTCTAATTTTTCCCAAATAAGGTCCGTTTCACGTCATTTCAAGTCTGTTTCTTACCAAATTTCACAGACTCAACTTAAATCACAAATTAGACCTGTACCGGGCTCCAGAACCAAGATACGGGCCCGATACCATCAACTTTCAAACACATTTCATTTTCAAAAACTCATGTATTCTTCAGAAAATAATTTTCTTCAAAAATTTATTACTCGGGTTAGGGACCTCGAAATTCGATTCCGGGCATACTCCCAAGTACCATATTTTCTTACGGACTTCCCGGGATCGTCAGAACACAGATTTGGGTCCGTTTACTCAAAATATTGACCGAAGTCAACTTAAATTCACTTTAAAGGCAAAATTTATTATTTTTCATTGATTTTCATATAATGGCTTTCCGGCTACGCGCCCGGACTGCGCACGCAAATCAAGGTGAGGTAAAAAGGAGGTTTTTAGGCCTCGAAACGCTGAATTTGTTTCTAAAACAAGTGTTGACTTTTTGGGTCATCACCTTAACCCATCTTAAATAGAAATATTATTAAGAATACTTTCCTTTAATGTTGTAGATAGAGTACCTTTTTTTAATTTCAACAAAATGAGTATTTTCTTTTCGTGATGTAAAACGGTGTTTTCTTTCATTTTAACAAAAAAAGTACTTTTTTTTTCATGATGCAAGTATTTTGTTTCATTTCAACAAAATGAATATCTTTTTTTTATGATTGAAAAATATATTTTCTTTCATTCAACAAAAAAAGTACGTTCTTTTTTCGATGTATAAAAGTATTTTCTTTCAACTCAACAAAATAATGATGTAAAAAAGTATTTTCGTTCTTTACAACTAAAAAGGTACTTTTTTTAATGTATGTATTATTANGCAAGCCAACCAACTGAATTATTTGACTTGTTTCCATTTTTAAATTCGTTAACAACTTAGAACCAACAATTAATAAACAACTTAATTAAACAAGCGGAAGAATAAATATCAAGTTAAATAGCACTACTAATACCAACTCATAACAAAACCACCCAAGAATTGGTATCACAGCTTCACAGACTGTCTAAGAGTACTACAAATAAAAGGTCTGAAAGAAATAATAAAATACTGTCTCTGGAACTACATAAGAGAAGCAGCAAAATAGATAGAGGGAGACGTCAATGCCTGCGGACGCCTGCAGGACTACCTCGGGTCACCTGATAAGCAAGAAGTTGAAACCTCACTGCGGTCCGAAATCTGCAGCACTGGGATCAGCACAAAAGAGTGCAGAGTGTAGTATCAGCACAACCGACCCCATGTGCTGGTAAGTGCCTAACCTAACCTCGGCGAAGTAGTGACGAGGCTAGGACCAAACTGCCAATAAACTTGTGCAGATAAATGATGTACAGCGGAAAAATAAAAGCAGAAACACATATAGTCAATGATGGGAGAGGGGGAACATGCTGCGGGAAAATACCAAATAGCAACAAGAGAACATCAGTTAAATATATAGATCGCCACAATTCAATTATCAACAAGAAAAAAAAATCAAACAAGTGCATGGCATTACCCTTCGTGCTTTTACTCCCGTCCTCACCATAAAATCAATATAAACTGCACGGCATCACCCTTCGTGCTTTACACTCTTTCTCACCATGAAATCAATATAATAGGCATGGAATGGTACATCGTGCAGCACGACATCACCCTTCGTGCTTTACACTCTTTCCTCACAAAACAAACAATGCACGGCATCACCCTTCGTGCTTTAACTCTCTTCCTCAGCCAAACAACAATCACAAGGCAAATAGGGTAAGGAAATAGAGGAAATTTGCAATAAGAATCCCGGCAAGGGAGCAACAAGTCAACAGTTAAATCCCGGCAAGGGAACAACATCAATAACATCAACATCCCGGCAAGGGAGATAACAAATAAATCAACAATAGCCCGGCAAGGGTGACAACATAATGATCTCTTCTCTTTCTCACTTTTACTTCACAATTCACTTCACAACTCGAGCCAATGCTCTAGAGGTTCAATTATCACTTATACCTTCACAACTCATTTCAC